TTGCCAACTCAGCGACTTTGTCGCCATATTTCAGACCCCTCCAGCGACTCTTTTTCAAAAAAGCGACTAGCGACAAATCTAGCGACTTTTGGAGAACATACTCCGTCAGCGCTCCGCCCCGCTGCGCTCCAGACCGCCTACACAAAGCAAAGCCTACAGCCGCCGCTGTCCCCTCCGCTCCGCTCTGAGTTCCTTGGAGATCGTAGAGGGCATGCGCCAGATGAACCAGGGTTTCCGCGGATCATTAAAAATAATTACAATTCATAATTCTTTTTTTAGTCAAGCCCTTAATTGGCACTAAAATTAATTAAATATGTTTATCGTTGCATTTATGATTCTTTAATAAAAATGCTTCTAAAAACAATTTCGTCAGATATATTATATCGCTATTAATTTGCGTGGAACTGTTTATAAAGCCGTATGTTCGGAAAGGAAGCTCGAGGCGGAGAAAAAGCTAGAGAATATATATACGTATATATATGTGTGTGTGTGTGTTTTTACATACATACAGGAGTCATGGAACTGTGCTTACAGCTCCATATTTCATGTACACTAATAACTTGTGTACATGGTTCTTGTTAATGGCATTAAAATCATTTCAAATAGCATTAAAATAGCATTAAATTAGAGTCACTCATTCCTGTATGAACCCTGTGAGCGCTTAATTTAGTATGACATATTAAAAAAATCCCACCATCATCCAGCATATGTTCAGTTTCTGCCCAAATATATATATATATATATATATATATATATATATTTATTTTTTTTTTTGTAGATTTTTGTAACAGAGATAAGGATAATTCAAAACTGCTTTTTTTTTAAATGAACTTGTTCTCTACAACTCAGCATCTCTTTTCATTCATGTAATAAGAAGTTTCTTTTGAATGGATTTGATTAAACTTTAAGTCCCTCGGTATAAAATAAATATTTTAATGGAGATGAGAAATCTGCTTCCTGGTTGGTGAATAACCAATAGTTTGGATCCAATCATTTAAATAAACGGTGTTAGTTTTTTTTATTTTTTAGATATTTATAAGAATTGTGCTATAATTTCTAGTCACCGATCTGTTGCTACTATATTTTAATTTGACGAACCGGTATTTGTCAAGGTTCTTTTTCCTGTTTGGTGCGATTGCAATTGCGGATCTTGACCTGGCCGGACCGGAGCGGAGCAAAAAATAGCTCGGCTCCGTAATTTGTCGGTGACGGACGGAGAAGACGTACGTGGACGGAGACGTGCGGAGGAGTAGCGGTGGATGTGGAACAGCTCTCATTGATTTCCATGAAAGACAAGCGCTCCGCACGACGTACGTCAGCGGGGCGGAGCGGAGCGGAGCGCTGACGGAGTATGTGGAATCTGGGGGTTACGGGAAAGCACGTATCGTTCCTTTTCTTGTCCTGCTGCCGTGGGGCGCCTCCTCCCTCCCAACCCCGTTCTCCCCCGCTATCGCAGGAGTCGCTCTCAGCGCTGCAATGTTTACCCTCAGCGTCCAGACTGCAAATAAAGCGCACATGCGCCGGGATTGGCGGCGCAGGTTGATCATAAATAACTGAATTTGAAATATTTTATCTTAAATAAATAACGGCGTTTGATTCACACAGCCACATGTTCATGTTTCTAGTTTGGAGTGGAGAGGGAGTATCCACTCATCGGGCAGAGAGCTGTGTGCATTCTTCTTCCCTTTGCCACATCATATCTCTGTGAGATGGGCTTTTCAGCTGCTGCTTCACTGAAAACAAAGCATGACTTGAGAGTGGCAGTATCAAGCCTGCAACCCCGTTTTGAGAAACTGTGCAATGCAAAACAGGCTCATTGCAGCCACTAATGCAGGGATAAATAGACCTGTATTGCCTGTTGGATTTCACTTATTTTCTTTTAACAGATTGCAGAGTGGAACTTTAATTTTTTCTATCTTTGAGCTTGATACAAATTTTGACACAGCTGCATTTTTATTTTCTTTATTTTTGAGCTTGCTGTTATTTGACGTAGATAGTTTGTATTTAGATACTACTTGTTACTTCAATAAAATTGGAACATTTTAAGATTGTTTCATATTTCATTAGCATTGTGTTGGGGCGATGGGGACAGGCGGGGCTTGAAAATTCCCCCTTGTCCAAAGTGGGGAATGACAGAAAAAGTTTGAGAACCACTGCCCTAGAGTAACCTGCTAGGCCCTTCAATCCAAACACATTAGCGTTGGTAGACAGCCACTGGGCTAACTGTTGCTTTTGCTGATGCAAGCGTGTGATAACATTTTGAAATTATAACTGCCTGCTTAGTGTCAATATTGTGCCTCAGTTGATAATTGGTAAGAGAATAGGTGTTCTTTTGCATCAGAATTAGTCACTAATAGCCTAAGGGTCCATCCTTATTTAGCTGTTGATTTATGCATTCAACATTAAATTATATCGATTCCAAACACCAACTTTAAGTCTCCTATCTGGGAGCACATAGTCCATGTCCAGTGGTTTGGAAAAATTAATATTCTGTACATGTTTACTACAAACCAAGCACCGAGATATGGAGCTTACATGGCCTTTGTACGACCATATGTCACACAAAAAAACTAGATGTCTCCTATATGAGAAAACAAACACACATACAACAAATACCAAATATGAGATGTAAAACCTGGTGCCAAAGTCTAAATGAAAAAACACCGGATGGTTTTTTAATCATAGGTAATACAATTACAAGTTTTGCAAATGGACTAAGTTAAAGTAGCTGAGTAGAAAACCAGTAAACTGAGGCAACAAAGGAAACTAGGAGGGGAAACTTACCCCCAGATTCCACATCCTCTGTCACCTCTCCGCCGCCCTCACGTACGTTGTGCATAGTAATTGTCTTTCATGTTTTTAAATGAGAACTGTTCCACATCCACCGCTACTCCTATGCACGTCACCGTCCACGTATGTCTTCTCCGTCCTTCACCTTCAAAATTCGGAGCCGAGTTATTTTTTTTCCGCTCCTCCGATCCTGTCAGGCCAGGTCAAGATCCACAATTGCAATCTTACCAAACAGGAAAAAAAACGTCAAGAAGATCTGGTTTGTAAATTAAAATATGTTAACAACAGATTGCTAACTACAAATTAGAGCATAATTCTTATATATTCCATAAAACTAAGAACATTTAATTCAATTATTGGATGCAAACTATTCGTACTATACAAATCAATAAACAGTTTTCTCATCTCGATCAAAATATTTATTTTATATTGAGAGGCTTAAAAGTTTAATCAAATCCGGTCAAAACTTCCAAGGGCGCATCTCACAACTTCAAAAGAAACTTGTTATCGAAGACATGGATAAAGAGATGCTGATACCTTTTTACAAAAATCCACAACAAAAAAAATAATAGTTTGGCAGAGAGAGCAGAAATGCTGGATGCCGGTGGGAATTTTTAAAATATGTGATATTAAATTAAACATTAATTTCTGCATGTTTAGGTCCTAATAATTTAATAATAATACAGCACATGCTCTCCTTGAGCTCCGAGGAAGTCGGTCTGGAGCAAGACAGGAGGAACTGCAGAGACTGTAGGCTTTGCTTTGCGCGTACAGCCTGGTGCGCAGTGGTGCGGCAGCAGGGCCGAGCTCAATTCGTGCCAGTGGCAGCATTGTGACACTTCCGGTGGCTCGTTGTGGCACTTCGTGTTGGCAGGTCAGGCTGACACGGTGTATTACTCGCTGATACGGCGTAGTACTGGCAGCTGCCACTAGGCTGACAGTCTGCAAGTTTGGCTCCCATGTTTACTGCAACTGTTTTGGGGGCTGCAGAAGCCATTTTTCAGCAAATAGCCCATTTTTAAGCAAATAGCTCATCTATAGTTCTTCTAAGTAGATTTTTGTTTTAATGTTGCGAATAAAATGCCTTGCAACTTTCATAAAGTCACATTCAGTTGATGAAATAAAGTAGCTCATCTGCCAATTAGTGGCAGTGGCACATGCCATTACGCTACCACTAGGTGTCCCTGGCCACTTGTCACTAAAATACTGTTTTAAGACCATGATGTTATCGCTTATTAACATGTATGAAACCTTTAATGAAGTGACTGCATTTACTTTGGAAGCAATGGCCTAAAAAGGGATTATGTATGTATCTATGTATTTAACATGTTGTAAGGAAAGAGACATTCCACACCCTGCTGGTACGTTACACAGAATTCAAAGTTAATAAGACATATATTGCCATTCTAAAATAACCTGGCCATGAGGGTGAGAGAACAGGGAGATGACATCATTCCACAGGATGTCATCCATGAGGTCAGGTCTAAATTCTTTAGATATATAGATTAGTATGTGTCCCTCCTTAACTCTATCTAAGATGCGGAGAGGCTGCAGCAATGGAGACATATGGTTACTTCTAAATTTCTTTATTTACAGAATTTCTTAAAATATTGCAAAACCTTTTTTTTTTACTTCCACAATGCACACACAGAACCAAGTATCTCAGGCCAGTTGTTAGGTGCATTTGGGGCTCTGCGTCTTTGAGAAAAACTCAAAAGGGTCAAGATGAAATGATCCAGCAGGATAATTGTCTTATACCTCTTGCATTTTCTTTGCCTGAAATTAAGTTTAGATTTTTCTTAATTTTGCAGTTTGTTTATGTTTATTAAATACAACATGAATTTCTTCCATGGCTGTTAACTCATCCATGTCAGTAGTATCAATGTTCATGGCTCCAAGACATACTCTGTCACCATTTTATTTCAGTCAGCAGACATAAACTCTGTTTTTGGTAATTGTGATAAAATACAGTTTTGTTATTTGAACCAATTACTCCTCCTTATAAATTAAATAGCACTTATGTATATTTTTGTATTTGACCATGTGTTCATTGCTCTGTGCATATTTCATTATCACAATTCATGTGGAAAGCCAGTTTGAGCCAGTTAGCACTTCTCCTGCTGAGACTGTGACCACTATCTGTCTGTCTTTTCATAACCCATGAGCAATCCATAGCCCACAGCCTTAATTAAAGTGATCTCTCCTGACAGATCATCAAAATGTACTCTTTCTTGGATTACATCATGGGAGGCTGCCAGATTCAGTTCACGGTAAGATATCTCCCACCTACAGGACAAAATCGTTGATATTTGCAACAGTGTGTGCCAGGGCTGGCTTGTGCCCACTCAAACTATGTGACGGGGGTGTGTGTGTTTTTCTCAGGTGGCCATCGACTTCACAGCATCCAATGGAGATCCGAGAAATAGCTGCTCCCTCCATTACATCCATCCTTACCAACCCAATGAGTACCTCAAAGCACTGGTGGCTGTAGGGGAGATCTGCCAGGACTATGACAGGTAGAGTAACTCCATCAGTGGTTATGTCCTTTATACCAAACGTATCTCAGTGCCCATGAGACTGAAATACAAACAAGTGCATACCTATGGAGTAATTCATTTATTTTCACTGCAATAACAGCTGCAGTACAATTTGGGGGGAAGCAATCCTTTGCTTACACAGCATTTAAAGCTGGGGACTGGGAGGTAAACTTCTCTCCCATTCTTAAGAATAAGGAGACCAGCTTATGTGCTTTGTTTCGGACTAAGCTGCATTTTATGTCCTCCCACAATATCAGAGCATTTCCTACATTTAAAATGCATAGGGGGTTGCCAAAAGTAGGAACTGACTTAGGGTAATTTTGATACTAGAAACACCACTGATGGGAGTGATGTGTTCAGGTTGATGTGAATTGAAGTCTCACAGATAGCATAGGCAAAAAAAGAATGCCTATCTTTGATCTCTTCCTGTTAAGAGTCTGCTCCAAGGTTTGCTACACCTGCAAATTAAACTTGTTTGAACTGCTTTGTGCTTGTCCCCTTTTTCCATGCAGGCCATATTTTTGAACTGCGAAATAGAGATTGGTTTATATAGCATGTGAACACCTAGACTGTGGAATGCACTACCACTTTACCAGTACTTGGTGAACTTCATTGATGATTTAAATAAAAACTACTACAAAAAAAAAATGTTTAGACACATTTTATCAAGGGCTGCTATGATTGTATTTATTTTGCCTATATGTATTTTAAATGGTGCTGATTTGTATTTTATGCCTCATATTGTACAGCACTTTGTGATACTTGTCTGAGAAAGGTGCTTTATGACTAAACTTTACTTGCTTATCTTTGCAGCTCCATCACATTTACCATATCTCTGTTGGCTGGTTTTCTCATTAAGGTTCTCTTTGAATAGCTTTAGTTTAGCTAGACAACCATGTTATGATATGTTTGCAGCCACACTTTTCATATTTTTGGAAGTTCCATTGAATCTTCAAAGCTTTTGATATATTAATGCCTTCTTCACTGTGACATTATCCCTGTCCTGTCTGCTGTGTTCCTTGAAGCTCTTGCTGCTATTAGCAGATTGATGTTTTCTAACAAAACTTCTGTATTTACTATTTGGTCTCTAAAGGCAAATGATTGTTGATGACTGAATTTTGAAAATATTAGCGTGGAGGACAATGAATTCAGATCCACTTTTAATTGGTCAGATTTTTGTTACCAAAAGATTTAAAAGAAAAATCTGCTACATGAAAAACATTCATTGAAGTCTTTCTGTGTAGCATATAAATGCTTATATGAAACCATTCCAAAAGAATGCATTTCTGTATATTAAGCCAATGCTGTATATTAAAAAAAAGTTGTAAATTATAAATGCATTTCTCCTCCCATGTTTTTCACTGACTCCTGTTTTCTTTTCTACAGTGATAAAATGTTCCCTGCATTTGGTTTTGGAGCTTTGATACCGCCAGACTTCAAGGTAAGAAAACCCAAACTACATACAACATGTGTATGGGAAAGCAACGGGAGGGATGTGCCCCTTCTTTTGATCAGCATGAAAGCAGAAAATGTGCATCAAACCTGTAAACTGGACCTGACACATTGTCCTGAGCGATCGGTTTGTTGCAGCTCATTCCCTTCTCTTCACTGTTCTCCGTCTTGCCTGCAGGTTTCACATGACTTTGCTGTGAACTTTGATGAGGAAAATCCAGAATGTGCTGGTGAGCTTACACACCTTAGAAGGACTCAACTTCACTTGTACATGCACCAAAACACGAAAGCAGAGAAAACTCTGCATGCCTTTCCTCTCTTTCATTCCCGTCTTTCTCCCTCACACACATAAATATTACCTCAAACGCACACATTAGCGCATACACACAGAAAAATGTAGCTGAGAGATTTGTCACAATGCTGCAGGATGTATTTCAGGCTCCACCACACAGAGAGAAACAACACTAATCTGTATGTGTGAAATGGGCTTCTGTGCTCCCTCCCCACATAGCTGCAGTCCCTGCCGCCAAGGTGTGTTTGCGTGTATCCTTGTGTGTTTGTGCGGACCATAAGGGAGTGCTTTCTGAAAAATGCTCAGTCACCTTGTAGCACAACGGCACACAGAGAGCCGGATTTATTCTCGCAAACTCGTTTGCTAGTACACGAACTTCGACTCTGTGAGGCCGCTGTGGTGCAACATACACACTGGTAAAGAGGGGAAAACAAATAAACAAGTTGCAAGGGCCCAAATATGTCTGTGTTGCAGGGATCCAAGGCGTGGTGGAGGCCTATCAAAACTGCCTTCCTAAAATCCAGCTGTACGGGCCCACCAACATCGCCCCAATTATCCACAAAGTGGCCTCCTCAGCCTCCGAGGAGATGCACACCAAAGAGGCCATGGTGAGAGAGAGAATGGAAAACATGAAATATATATAAAAATAGCTAGTTTCCTTTTAACGCTTTGACGGTCCACGAACAGACAAGGATAGATGGAGGGTACAAGTAAGGACAGAGTCATAGATCAGATGGGGATAACATGAATTAAATGTAATAAACTGAAAAAGAAGATGTGTGTGTGTGTGTTTGACTGGGGATTATTGAAATTAATTTGATTCTAGTCATAAATTTTTGCATATGACTTTTCTCTGCATTAATGCTCTCTGCTGCTTTCCATCTCTCCAGTGGATTAGAATGAGTTTTATTTAAATCAGTCGCTATCAGAAAACCCCTTTTAAAATATCAGTTTCATTCAACATCTATTCCTTACTCCTATCACACCAGGAATACTTCATCCTGCTAATCCTGACAGACGGAGTCATCACTGACATGGCGGACACTCGGGAGGCTATCGTGCATGCCTCTCATCTGCCCATGTCTGTCATTATCGTTGGCGTGGGCAACGCCGACTTCACTGACATGCAGATCCTTGACGGCGACGATGGGATCCTGCGTTCCCCCAAGGGCGAGCCAGTTCTCCGGGACATCGTCCAGTTTGTCCCCTTCAAGGACTTCAAACATGTAGGTGTAGATCGTAAATACATTTTATGCGCTCTTGCCATGTGGATCAAGGACTGCTATTATTTCAAAAACCTAAAGTTTGACTTACAGAGGTATCATTGTCGAGGGACATACAGTATTTTACTCAAAGGATAAATGCTGCAGACATGTATTTGATACATGAAAAGAAAGTTGTTACTAGCATCTTGGTGCTTGTGCCAATGTATTTTTTTAATGTTGAATATTCAATTTTATTTAACGTCCTCAGTGAGACTGAGAGTAATTTTTACTCTCTCTCTCTCTCTCTCTCTCTATATATATATATATATATATATATATATATATATATATATATATATATATATATATATATATATATATATATATATATATATATATATATATATATATATATATATATATATATATATATATATATATATATATATATATATAAGATTTAAACCAGTCTAGAGCTGTTCCCTTAATTCCTACAAAATATTCAAGTCTGTCTAAAATTATACTTTCATCAACTGTCTCAAATGCAGCACTGAGATCTAACAGGACAATTACAGATACAAGTCCATTATCTGAGGCCATGAGGATATCATTAGAGACTTTCACCAGAGCTGTTTCAGTGCTATGATGAGCTCTAAAGTCAGAATTAAACTCTTCGAAAGTTCATTATGGTGTAAGTTCTCATACACTTGTTTAGCAACTATTTTCTCAAGAACTTTAGATAAGATCGAAAGATTGGATATAGGTCTATAATTGGCCAAGTCTTCTGGGTCAGGGTCGGTTTCTTAAGTAAAGGTTTAATTACAGCTCCCTTAAAAGCTTGAGGTACATGTCCCTGTAACAGGGAGAGATTAATCACATCTAAAATGGAGGAGGTAATTTCACAGAATACTTCCTTAAATAACTTTGTTACAACTGGATCTAACATACAAGTTTAATGCTTAGATGAAAATAAAAGTTTTGCTAACTCTGAAAGTTCAACTGGATGAAAACAGTCTACACCCATTTCAGATTCTATAGTTACCTCAGAAATAAAATTCCTCAGGCATGTAGACTAAAAAATAACTTAGAAAGAAAGTTACTAATGTTGGATTTAAATTGTAATGAAATATTCCAGATGTGCCATTGATATACAATGTACAGGAATGTTATGAAAATACCAACAGTATACATACCCCATTGAAAGTGGCAGTGGTAAGGCGAAGGGGGCTCAAAATGTGGCAAAGTGGGATCTCTTCAGTGAAATAGATAAGAAAATCTCTTATATGTAAATTGAAAAAATAAAATATCCCCAAAAAATACAAAAAAACTTCTAACTACTTTTGTTATTTTTCTTCTAAGAAACAAAAACAACTTGTAGTTATAGTCTAACTGAGAAAAATGTTAATAAATGTAACAATAAAACTCTAATAAATACATAAATAAATGAATAAATAAATATTAAAGAAAATACAAAAAGAGACCTTGAAATACCATGTTGGACTGATTTTAGCCATCGCTGTAAGGAGCACCTGAGGCAGTAAGACTTATCACCTGAGGCAGTAAGACTTATCACAAAAAAAATTCAAATCTGACACCCCTGCACTAGAAAATATATGCAGAATAAAGATAAACCAGGTTGTCTGGTAGCTTCCTTTATCTTTTGTAAGTTCCTCTGCAGTATTCTGTCTCTGGTTCTGAAATCCTCTGATCTTCCCTTACACTGACATCATGTTTGTGTCCTTCACTTACGGTCAAGGAGATCACCTTAAGTTGTTAAATTAGCCAATATCACATTCACACAGGTCAAAGAAGCAGCTCGATTTTGAAATCATATCATCATAGTGAAAATGCATTATAGTATCAGAATCAGAATTACTTTATTAATGAATATATATTAATATATAACACTATATATTACTTTGTGAATTAATTAGTGCTGTCAAAATTATCGCGTTATTAACGCGTTAACGCGAGGCCATTTTAACGGCGATAATTTTTTTAACGTGAGATTAACGCTATGTGGTTTTATGGTACAATTTTCCAAGTACATCCCGCTGCAGCCTGCGGGAAGGTGGGGCTATTTTCCCCCAGTCTATGCATTTCTCATAGGCTTCGAGAACGGAGCTCCTCAAGGAAAAAAGACGCTGATACACTGGGTGACGCTAGTGCCTTTTCTTTAAGCCCCACCACCAACAAACAAGTTGAGTGTCTGGTAACTAGTAGCAACCTGAAATACGCTGAGAAAACAGATTACTGAGGTGAAATGGAATCTGCTACGGCACTCTTGTCGGTATCGTGTGTGTGTGTGTGTGTGGGTGGGTGTGTCTGTGTGTGGGTGAGTGGGTGTGTGTGTGTTCTCATTTTTGTTAAGAGGCTGAAAAGTAACTTTCTAGAGCATAGACTACCTTCATCTAGTGATGTCGGTCTATTGATTTTGATGTATTGATTGAAAATTGTTCATTATTATCTTGGTTAATTAACATCTAATGTTAACTCTACTAAATTTTATAGCAGTAGGGTAAAATGCTTGTCTTTGTTCAAAAGACTGTATTAACTGTAAAGACTGTCTTTTACATCAGCCTGTTTTCAGGGCCTTTTTTTTGGCTACATATTTGTTATTTTTTGCTACATGCCTCCCCATCTTCTTGCCATATGTTTCTATGGCATAAATCAGTATCTGTGACCTGTTTTCATTTTAAAAAAAGAACATTGGCACAAACCTAGCCTGTATGTATTTTTTTGTATGTCATCGAGAGTATTTAAATGATTTTCAATCAGGAAAAAAAATGTGCGATTAAAATGCGATTAAAGGGATAGTTCGGTATTTTTGACATGAATCTGTATGGCATCCCGATCACAAGCGGCATGCAATCACACTGACTTACCCCTGGCAGCGTCCTGTGAGCAGAGTTATCGTCCAGTTTTGGTCAAGCCGAAAGTAGTCCTGCAGGTTTTTAGGAACAGCGAAATAAAACTTTTCTCTTCCCAAAACATTATGTGTTCAGACAGCGAGCCCAACAACAGCCATGTCTCCCTCCGCCGCGGAAGGAGACATGGCTGTTGTTGGGCTCGCTGTCTGAATGACGGCGCGCACTGATACGAACAGAGAGAAAATAGGACCAATTGATAACGACGTGTGACTTTTTCAACTACAATGTTTTTGGGATGCGAAAATATCACTCTTTTGGACACATAATGTTTTGGGAAGAGAAACGTTTTATTTCGCTGTACCTAAAAACCTGCAGGACTACTTTCGGCTTGACCAAAACTGGACGATAACTCTGCTCACAGGACGCTGCCAGGGGTAAGTCAGTGTGATTGCATGCCGCTGGTGATCGGGATGCCATACAGATTCATGTCAAAAATACCGAACTATCCCTTTAATCGCGAGTTAACTCAGGCATTGATGCGATTAATCGCGATTAAAAAATTTAATCGATTGACAGCACTAGAATTAATATATACTCTAAGCATATTTATTATAATGTAGTTAATTCTTATGTAAATTGATGTATAGTTTAAAAGGCTGTAGGTGGCTTTGTATTTTAATGCCAGAAAATTAGGGGTGCCATTGGGAGTGTGGGACAAGGTTCTACAGCATAGTGTAGATCCATGCCTTCCATTTTGTTACACTACAACACTAATCTATTCTACTATGAATGTTGTTCTTTAGGTCAACATAAAATTAAGCATTTAAACTTGGAGGGAAAATAAATTATGTTTTAAAATTTTTTCCTTGCCATTTTTTTTTTGAGTATGTTTTGTTTTTAATCTGCTTTGCTCTCTATCAGAAAATCCCATTTAAAATGGATTGAAAGCTGCGGTTGTGATTTGACCAAAAAAACGATAAAAGGTTTCATTGGCGTATAATATGTTCATAGTGTTCTGTGTATCTGTTTATAGGATATATCAGGTGGAGCTCCATGATTTGTTGATTGGTTCAGAGTGCAAACGGTCATATTCAATAGATTTTGAAAAGTTTATTTCAGTAACTCAATTCACTAGTGAAAGACATAATGAATTATTAAGCACACTGCAGTTTTAAATTCTTTATTTCCAATGACCTTACAAAAATATGAAATTAAAGCTTAATGGGGGGATAGTGCTACATTATATTCGTAAAGGTCTTATGTCATTAGAATATTATATCAATTAAAAAGTTATTTGCGCCAACCTGTGGGTTTAATTAAAACTATGTTTAGTACCTGTTCAAAGGATGTTACTTTCTAAAAATACTTTTCATCTGACAAATAAAGCTTATCAGAGCACATATTCAAACAATACAGCAGCTTTAAAAAATGAAGGAATGAAACAAAATGGGCGAGTATATAGAGACTAAGCTGAAAAAAAGGTTTGTGACTGTTTTAAGCTATTCACAGAAACGTTAGCACACGGTTACCTGAGCATTAAGTACTTTTACGTAATTTGTCTACACTGAAACGGGGACAGTCATTCTATAAAACTAATTCCACTGATGTAATCTTTTTGATTAACTAATTGAATTAGCATTCTTCCTCTTTTGTGCCTTTGCTGTGCTTTATGATAATAAAATCTGGAGTCCAGTAATCTGATCAAAGTCCACTTTTTATCAAGCAAAAAATTAAGAAAATAAAACTCTAGAAAAATTTCAAAAGATGCATTGTCTCCCTTCTCGTTTTTAACTTGTCTTTGCTGGATTGTAATGTAATAGAGCTCTGTTCACCCATTACATCTAATGAAACATCTATGGATCTTGAGAAATGAGCTCTAAAATGATACATATAACTCATAAACCAGCGTTTGTGAGGTCTTCAGAGATGTTGGCTGCCCTTTCCCTGATCGTATCTCTGTACAGTTCCTGGATGGAGGGAACATTTCCCCTGATAATCCTCACTGCAGATCTAAATATCCATTACGGTATGCAACCGTTCTTTCTTATGAATGGATGGATCTGTACAGTAAAAACTGAATAATCTAGGTACACTGTATTATGATCAGCTCCTATAGAACGTTGCATTTCTATTGTCACATGGGGTACAGTCTCTTTTTGGCCTTCTTCCAAAAAGTGTCTATATGTGAGGATCATCTCAGGTTCTGAAAAAACATTGGTTTCTAGAAACCTGAAATGTTCCACAACAGGCACAGACGAATAGGTCTGTGGGCCGTTCTCAGTGGTTCACTATCAAATCCACTATGTTGAGCTAGTTGGACTCCTATTGGTTCTGACTGAGCCCAAAATTACTTATCATAATATAATATGAAATCATAAATCAAGATTACTTATGTACCAAATTTCAATAGCAGGACAATTCGAAGTGCTGTAGATGATAAAAACATCCAACAGCACAGAGAAAAGTGCATTGCTATGGCATAGTGGAAGAGAAAATGAAAAAATATATAAAACTGAGTATTAAAAGGATTTAAAATAAATGATAAAGTGAAAAAATTACTACAAAAAATAAGTAATAAAATGCTTAACAGTAAAATGACCAGGCAAGGCAAGGCAAGGTATTTACAATATCAATTATTTGTCAATAAAAACTAAAAACTGTTTTTGAACTTATGCAAGTTTCAAATGTTTCTCCCAGGTGAGAAGGCTATTTCCTGGAACTCTCCTTCCATCATGTTATTAATCAGTAATTAATCGTAATTAATTAGTATCCAATTTGCTCAAAGAACTTCAGTCTTCACTGTTGTCAACATTTTATCCTGTTTTAAACATTCCCATGTCTGAAAAAAGTGTATGTTATCTGAAAATTACAACAGCCACATGGTTTTTTAGGTTGAGACAACAGGCTATATTTTATATAGCAGAAAATTGCTGTTTAGGCACTTTGAGGAGACAGGGATATTCGAAGCCATTCTTTAAAGTGATGTATCTTCGTGTGTATATATTTTTTTATATAAATATTACTTACACTTAGGCACAGAAATGACAGGGATGTTTTTTTTTATTTTACTACGTGGGCGTAATATGCTTGCCGTGCTCATCAAAACCCATCAGGTCTACGCTCCCTTGAGTGTTTGTGTGTTCATGTTCATATGTGTGTATGTGTTTTCCCCTCTGCTGGCATTAATTTTGTTTGGCTCTAGCCAGATGGATTTGGCGGGGTTCGTTATGGTGAGTTTGGCCTGTGACAAGCTAGGAAATTAAGTAATTATATCCTATCGAATCAGTAAGTTAAGAAGAGGGAACATGTACTGAGTGTTTGAGGAGGGAGAATTGGCCAGAGAGGAGAGGTGATGAATATTGTGAAGGGAGATGAGGGAGAGAGACAACTCACTGGGGATAGGATTCGAGGGGGTCAGCGGGAGACTAGAGCTAAAGACAAAAGAGAGCGAGGGAGTGTGTGACAGAGGTGGAGAGGTGATTTTCTGCTCCGTCGTCTCTTTTCAGAAGGGATTAGGAGGACGGAGCCGCTGGGTGACAGGCAGAGTGGGGGATAACAGGTAGGTAGGAGTGGAGGAGAGAGAGGGAAGGGAGGCTAGAAATGAAAGGAGGGTAAAGGAAGGGGGGAGGCTCTTTGATGATGCATTGTCTCATGGAATTATGTGAGGAGTTTGACAGCCTCTCTGACTTTGAGGAATCAGGAGACGTATGGGTCTGTCTGCTGAGTGCTGTGGCTGGTGTCTGCATTCCCAAAAGCACAAAAAAACAGCAATAGCTTAAACGTTGCAAGTTTTTTTTTATTACCGTAATATCATTTTTAAGATTTTTAGAACTTCAACTAAGATTAACAAAATGTTCTGAGATTTCAATATACAGTTGGATCCATCCATCCACCTTTCTAGAGTACCTGCTCACAAAGAAACATAATATATCGTAATAATTTAATATGGCCTTGATTATTATATTTAATGCTTTATGGAGGTCATTGGAATTGTATTCTCAGACTTTAGCAGCTTTAGATATATTGTGCAGTTTGTAGTTACAAAGAAGAAAAGTATAAAGGAAGTATCTGAGCAAAATAAAAGAAAGAATCTACAGCAGTTGAACTATAAATGCTTTGCTTTTTCTTTTTCATTGTTGAGGTTTAAATCATAAAAGCTGAAACTTATGAAAAAGCAATCCGATACGTGCCTCATTCAGTTCAAATTTACTGAATAGAGTCACATTTCATTTTGGGGGGGGGCAAGTTTTAGAACGTTTTTCTTTGTTAATAAAAATGTTTGTATGGCTGCTGCACTCTTACCCCCAACCTTCATTTACATGCATTCCCATGCAGCAGGGTTTTTGTGCATAGACACGATTTATACATAAGGCTCCAGCTGTTATCTCAGAGCATCACTGATTAAGACCACTTCTAAGAATATTGCTGAAAAAGTTGAATGCCTTGAAGCAAAATATCCTGGGGCTTGGATTATAAGGTTCGAAAACTGATGCTTGGGTGAATTTATTCACAGTCTGCTTGACTGCTAAGATGATGTAATGTAAATTTAGACAACCTCCTTGCTCGTTTAGGCTTTCCTCTTGTAACAGACTTTATGTGCACCAGCAGCATCAATAAACCTTTTGTTTAAAGGATTGCAGCAAATTCATGGCAGGAAAATACAAGTCAGATCACAAGACGAAGAAAAACAATGTCGCTTGTTTCGAATAATTTCTGTTTGAAGATTTGCTGTTTTCTCCCAATTGAGATTTATCCCTGAGACAATGAAGAAAACAAAAAACTCCAGTGATATGCTGGAGAGAAACCAAATTCTTTTAAGTTCTTCACTTCTTTTTTTAGAAGAAAATGTTCATTATTGCTTTATGTGATGCTGTAATGAAAACAATATCTACACCAAAGTAGTATGCCATAAAAATTTGACATGTATGTGGACAACCCAGCACAGAAAAGAATAGTTGAATTCTTCCAGGGTACTACGACACACGATGCAATTTATTGTATGAATTATAAATACAGCAAAAATAAAAACTATTTTAAAGGTAAACTTTGGGCTAATACTAAAGTAGCGATATAGTTTTGGTCCTGAAATTACTCAGGAAGTTTCAACCTTCAGACCACACTACATCAAATATATAATTGAGAATAGATCCGAAACAATCAATTGGATTAATCTTGATTATTGAAATAATCATCAACTAATTTAGTAATCAAGTAAACATAAAATGCAGCATAGAGACTCTAAAACATGCTTTTAGTTGACTGACCAATCCACTTAGAGCAGTAATTATACCAAAATTGTAAAATAATATATATATTCGGCATTTAAGCCAAAAAACAAAAAAATTCTTCTGCTGATATGCTCTATCCAGAACTTCACACGTCAAAAAGTTTTAGTTTCACCTGTTTTAATTCTGTAAAAAAACTTCCTTATGGAACACTTTGGTATCCAATTATTCATCGAAAAAATAATCGACAGATTAATCTATTAGCAAAACCATCTTTAGTTGCAGCCCTAGTTAAGAACATAATTGAATATATATATATTCTATAGGCCTGCTTTCTTATACATTTGTGGTACAAAAACTAGTATTTCCGTAAGCGGTTGTTTTTAGTTGCACGAATAATAAAATAGAAAAGGTGATACCATGAATGTTTATATGATGCTAGACTTGTTTTATGTGACATTTTTCATCTTGGCAAAAAAAAAATAAAAAAAATATTATATAGGTCAAACAAAGTAGAAGCTTAAAATTTTTCTAAGAAAAACATGCACTAAAAGTGACTGTTGTGAAATTACCTTTCTAAAGAAGAATCCACAATATCAACTAAGCGAACAAGGATATCATCGCAATGACTTTCTTTATTACCTGCATGCTTTGTATTACAGCAGCGTAGTCTGCAGCATGGTATTAGTGTCTGGGATTCCTTACTTTCATATTCTGTGAAGAATATGCAATTTTTCTATTATTTTTGCTGGGCCGTTTTCCTCCACACATGTTGTGCACTAAATTGAAGTGATGATACCAGAGAACAAAAAAGGGAAAGCAAGAATACTTTAGAGGCTGTCAGATGAGCTTTTCAGATCACATCAGTCTCAGCGCTCTACAGACACTATAAAGCAGACATTCTTCCCTTTAAGATCCATGAGTGGATGGTAATCTGTGGGTGTGCGGATGTGTAAGTATTTTTCTGACCTATCTTCTCCTTGTCTTTGTTTTTTTTTTTTTTTGCAGGCCTCTCCGGCTGCTTTGGCTAAGAGTGTTCTAGCAGAAGTCCCGAACCAAGTGGTGGATTACTACAATGCGAAAGGAATCAAACCTAAGTGTATATCGGACTACGAGTCCTCAAGAACCTTCAGCCCCTGACAATGTATTACATGCAACATATTTCTAATCAAACACTCATATAAATATATAAGTTTCAGGGGTATAATGATAAATCCAGTTGATGAGATTAGATAAGATGACACTTAATCTGTTCACAACAACGAGGTGAGACAATATTTTGGTAATAGTCTTGGAAATCAAATTTTCTGCATAAAGCAACACTGTATAACTTTTGGCCCAATTATCAGCTTAATTAAAGGATTTTTTTAGGTAAATATAAATACTCAGTATAGCATGTATCTAACTCCAGAGGGTTGGATCTGATGTGATTCAAAGCGGCGCTTTACGGCAGTCTGAGCTCTGTATAAATCTGAGCATTAACGAAGATGAATTTTGTTGCTTAGCAACAAAGACATACTTTTGTTTCCCTGTTGAGAGGTGAATGTGGCCTTGTCTTTAAAGGTAACTAAGGGCGCTAATCCTGGAAGTTGCAGGTCTAGCACCCCTAGTGGCTAATAGTTACACAGTGTTTCTTCTTACATTTGAGGTTATTATGCTTGTCTGATTATTTGAAGATATGGCACCTTGAAAAATTAAATTAATTACTTTTTGTGCTTTTGCAATTGAATGAAAGTTTTATTAATCCTAATTAAGTTTTACAGAATCTCCACCCAGTGTAGAAATATCGATTTCTGGTTTGAATTTTCAAGTATTTTAGATTTTGATCTAGAAATGAAATGTAATCTGTATTTTCCTTTTATTCTCTACGTCTTTAAGGTGCTGTCTCACAGATTCCTACCTTGCCATGTATGTCCGGTATCTAAACCTGGGTTTTATGAAGGTGTTAATTCAATTAAGTAGATTTCATGAAACAATAAGTCCTGTCATGCCTTTGAAGTATGAATGTCCTTTTTTGATACCTTTCTGGTTTTAATAGTATGTACTGGGATCAAGACTGTTGAATTCACAGTGTATATCTGCAATATGACATAGTAGGTTATATTTTACATTAAATCATTGTGTTGTTGTGATGTGTTTTTAAATTCAAAGATCAACCCTTAGGGAAATAAATAACAATTCTCTATAGGTGACCAAAGGTGGCCAGATAAAAAATTAGCTGCAATAATGAGAAAATAGTCTTGTATAGTATTTTGCATCATTAATATTATGTTATTTTTTTCAATATGTGCTTACAGATACAGAGCCACAAGTGCTCTGAAGGTGGCATACAATTACTCCATACAAGGCATGTTAGAGCTGTTGGTATCATGCTTCATGATTATTTGACATATCTAAAAAAGTTTGGCTTCGCTGGTAATCAAGTAATTTAGTCTGTAGAATTACATGTCTAAGAATGCCCGATTAGAGCAATATTAGGCTCTGGCAGCTCATCCTTGTGTGCCATGAAAACACAAGGCAATAAACCTATACTGTAACTGGGGTATGAAGTTTAGGTCCAGTAGGAACCTGTGAAGCAGACCCTAAATGGGCATCGTTAGTGGCAGTTAGCCAGATGGGGTATAGCGACACTGCTTTAAGAACTTGTTTGAATCTTGTCTCTTATTGTTCTTATGTTCTTTTGTGGAGCTAAAACCCTTTGAGTGTCATCAATGGTCTGGGACCAAACATTTCAGGCAAGCCTGCCAAGCAACCTTTTTGTTAAAACATCAGTTCATAACAACAACTACTTCCTGTCTTACTTCTAACCAATACTCTCAAATATAGACATCACAGGGTTTCAAACTTAAAGCGCTTTTGGACATATCCAGGGCTTCTGATATTGGCTCACATTTACAAGATCATAGAAAAGCACTATGAGAAGCTAGGTTCTGTTTGATGTAAAATATGTCATGTTTTTATTCAGCTGGGAACTGAAAAGGGCATTGATAATACATCTTAGTAAACAGGAACAGGTTACAAGCATCGAGGTGAGAACAAGAGAGGAGTAACTTAATGAGGATTTATACAGGTGAATTTGGAAAACTGAATACTATACAGGGGTGTAAATCAAAGATAAGGTACAACCCTGGGGTTGCATAAAGCACTGAACATAAACATATAAATAGAAATATAAAAAAAGGGAATTATTAATGGTCTGCTCAGTGGCGCAGTGGATAGCACTGCTGCCTTGCAGCAAGAGGGTTCCAGATTTTATTCTCGGCATGGGATCTTTATGCATGGAAATAGGATGTTCTCCCTGAGCATGCGTGGGTTCTCTCCGGGTACTCAGGCTCCAAAAGTCCAAAAACATGACTGTTAGGTTAATTGGCTTCTCTAAATTCTCCCTAGGTGTGAGTGTGTGCGTGAATGGTTGTTTGTCTCTGTGTTGCCCTGCAATGGAATGGCGACCTGTCCAGGGTGTACCCCGCCTCTCGCCCGTAGACAGCTGGAGATAGACACCAGCACCCCTCGCAACCCCGCTTGGGATAAAGCATGATGGAAAATGGATGGATGGGAAATGATTAACAAAACATACCATGCATCCACAAAAATTACTGAACTAGAGTCAAGGTCCAACAAATCATGATGTTTTGATGTTGCAAGATTTCGTGACAAGATAGTCTTACACCCCTGATAAGTTATATAAAATGCATTTAAATATTGTATAGTATATATACATGCCTAAAAGCACAAAAAACATGAACAAATACATATACACAACAATACAACATATGGTAGTCTAGCTCAGAGCAGTAGCTTGTCATGGTAAAGCAGTTTTAACTACTTTGTAATCGACTATTGCATGTTTGGCCACAATGGCATCACCTGGGAAACTATTGCTATATATTGTATATTTGAAATGTATTTGTAGAAATATTAACAGTATTCAGAATGGGCATGCATAGTTTGACTATTTTCCAACTGATAGAAATGACACTTTTACCTTATTTATATAACTAGCAAGTATACAAACCTAAAGATCCCACAATATTTGTGGGGAAAACTGAATATAAGCCTGAAACCCCGCCCCCTCATCCTTAATATTAGCATTTCAAATGTTATTTATGGAGCAGGGTGCATTCGATTTAGTGTACTGCATGAAAGCATGCATAATTCAGCTCCCGCTAATATCCAATCTCGAGTAGCCCCTTGCTAGTTATGAAATAAAGTATCTCTGTCATTTATGTGAAGCAGTGGGGTATTCTTGGGCATTTGGGGGTTCTTTTTCTACAGATTTGCTTGTGATTTTGCTAAATGGGAATTAATAACTAATTAATAGTTGTAATAATTTCTTAATAACCTTCTTACATTGTAAAGAGTTTTGGGATGGTAGACAACTGTGTGTTATAGACTCTCATTTGTGAGCTGGAAATTGTTTCTTTCCTCTGTATCCTGCATGTTGATAATAATAAAGATGCTTTGGGTTTCTCATTTTTGTGTAACGGTTTCTTTTTAGTGAGTGCATTTTTGTAAGAGGGAGAGAGAGAAGGAGGATATTTTTGTTATTGAGATAGAATTCTTAGCCTTAGAGAATCACACAATGGTTGTTTACTTGTTGGCTCTGATATCTCTTAAGAAAATGTAGTGCGATCAGCTGCTTCAGAAATAATCAAATTGGTAACAAAATTCCACGTCGATCAAGTTTATTTTAATTATAAATACAGCTGTCGCATGGAGAATATAATATTTTGTTAGGGAAATTATGAACCTACATCTTTTAACATCTCAAAATTCTGTAACCTATCATCCCAAAATTAAAAGACTGTGGCACAAACTCACAAAACGTAGCAACCACCTAACTTACAGGGCAATCAAGAGAAAAACTGGAAAAGAAAACCGGGCAGTTACCAATAGTAACCAATAGTTCAAAAGGAAGAATCTTCTCAATGGAAAATTCTTTGTTACTAAAAAATCTGAATTATTTTAGTATTTTTGAAAAAATTGAAAGATGGCAAAAAGAAGTACATTTTTCCAGATCCGATGTCAGAAGCATGGTAAATGCAAAGATTTTTACTTGTGAAATATCAAATCATATTGGTTTTTGTTCATCTTTTAACATTTTTAAACCGATTGCTTTGCCGTGAATATGGCACAGAATTCTTAAGTTTATTCTCCCGACTGTGGCACAAGCACCTAAAAGAAGGACTAATCAGAAACAGAAAACTTTGCAGCCAAGTTGTGTCCTTGGACAGAACAGATTTTGTAGCTGCCCTTTCTTTCATAAGGGAGCAGTCATATTTGCCAAGATGCCCTCATACACACCTGCTGCCAATGCTGAGTAACCTCTGCATGTCTGCAGCATGATTTTCCTTGTGTATTTTATTCCAAAGGAACACCTGTCTGGATTTATTCGACAAAATCAGTAGCAAGGTTATTTTAAGTGTCATGTAAAGAAATAGTTCTTGGGGTGGAAAGCAGACTCCTGAAATGTGTGTGCTCTTTTCTAAAACTAAAGGTTTATAAAGCAGTTTGCAATTAGTTCATATGGAAATGATCCCTGAAAAACTGTCAACTAACATTGTGAGATTTCAAGAGAAATGACAAGTCATTTAAAAAAATGCCTTTGATAAAACTACAAATACTACAAAATTATCTGTTTAAATTGAAACATCTTTTTGATTTATAGTTCCCCAACAATATTTGTATTGTTCTCCATAGGACAATGACATAATTAATAGTTACACCAATCTGCATGGGGAACATGGGGTGTCATTTAGTTACACTCCCAAATGATCAAATTTAGGTCAAATATAGCAGGAAAGTGGCACACTAAAGAATTAGCAATCTTTATTCTTAGAAAACGAAATAATCTAGAGCTAACTCTAAATACTACATAGCTAAATATTCATTATATGTTTTTGCAAGTCAGAGGTAAATACCTAAACTTCTGTAGTACATTTTGATTGCGAAGCGGAACCTTTGTCATCAGTCGCAGTGTTGCCGAATTATTTTCATGTCGTACCAGAAGTTACAAGGGTGACATTTGGTGAATATATACGACGGCATGTGTTGTCACATTTACATTGGTAGCTTCTCTTCTTAATTTTGTTTTGCTAGTGTCATATTTATACCTTCCTGCGGAGAATATAGATGACGATGACGACGACGACGTGGGTATGTCGGCTTTTTCTCCAGCGGGGAGCGCAGCTTATTTCCCCCCAGGCAGCAGCTAAAAGGTAAAAATGCTAACTAGCTAATTGTGCTAACGACAGATTCCAGACAGATTTGAATGGTTCTCTTCTTAGTAAAAAAATAATAGCCCTTCCTTTTCTACATCAACACTAAGGATGTTATTGTATAAACGCTTCTTCATATTGCTGATCATAGTCTTAGGTAAGACAGCATTGTATATTAGGCGCTGGTATATTAAAATATGATTTCTAAATTACATCTTATTGCTATCATAGTCATTTTTTTTCATTGAGCAACTGAAATAAAAATAAAAAAACATAGCAACAAAATGATAACTTTCCTCCTCTAAGAACATAATAGTTTAACCTAGAGTGCAGCTATTATCATCACAAATTTAATCAGCTATTGGATTCACTAAAGTACTGCTTTTATGTCTTTTAAAATGTGATATTTTTGTTCTCACTCGTAATTCTAACAGTATTTGCACTGGGGCTGCAACAATCGACTATTTTGATCATAGATTAATCTGTAGATTATATAATAGTAAAAGATTCCTAAAAATATATTTTTGTACAGAATTAAAACTTTTCCACTTGTGGAGTTCTGGATAGAGCATATTGACTTACACAAATGTTATTTTTATATTATCTTAAATGCAAAATATGTATATGTTTTTTTTTTAAAACAATTTTGGTGAAGTTGCTGTTCTAAGTGGGTCGCTCTTTCAGCTTAAAGCATGTTTTAGAGTCTCTATACTTCAGTATAGACAACAATTCAACAATTTATCCAGTAAAGAATTAGTTGATGATTCTTTAAAAAAAATATTAATCCGTTTCAGATTAATTGTTTCAGCTCTAATTTACACCGTTATTCTACACTCACCGGCCACTTTATTAGGTACCCCATGCTAGTAACGGGTTGGACCCCCTTTTGCCTTCAGAACTGCCTCAATTCTTCGTGGCATAGATTCAACAAGGTGCTGGAAGCATTCCTCAGGGAGTTTGGTCCATATTGACATGATGGCATCACACAGTTGCAGCAGATTTGTCGGCTGCACATCCATGATGTGAATCTCCCATTCCACCACATCCCAAAGATGCTCTATTGGATTGAGATCTGGTGACTGTGGAGGCCATTTGAGTACAGTGAACTCATTGTCATGTTCAAGAAACCAGTCTGAGATGATTCCAGCTTTATGACATGGCGCATTATCCTGCTGAAAGTAGCCATCAGAAGTTGGGTACATTGTGGTCATAAAGGGATGGACATGGTCAGCAACAATACTCAGGTAGGCTGTGGTATTGCAACGATGCTCAGTTGGTAGCAAGGGGCCCAAAGAGTGCCAAGAAAATATTCCCCACACCATGACACCACCACCACCAGCCTGAACCGTTGATACAAGGCAGGATGGAGCCATGCTTTCATGTTGTAGACGCCAAATTCTGACCCTACCATCCGAATGTCGCAGCAGAAATGGAGACTCATCAGATCAGGCAACGTTTTTCCAATCTTTTATTGTCCAAT